CCTCCTCTTCCATTCCATACACTAGAATGTATGAAGTCATAAACTGAGAGAAGCAGACTTGGAGATAGGAAGAGAAAAAGATGGCAAAAATAATTGGAGAGAAAGGGAGAGACAACAATGGAGGGAAGAGAGAGGCCCTCCAGGGCCCAGCATATTCTTGTGGCTGATTACATCTTACCTCCTCTGTCAACCTTCAGCTACTCTCTCTGTCTCTGCCTCTCTCTTTGTGTCTTTAGCTTGAACTCCTGCCACCAAGCATGCAAGCCTTGGGTCGAATTCTTCCCGTGAGGGAATCTGAATGGCCCAGATGGTCACCCTTGTCCCTGTTGGACTCAACTTTTGCCCAAAACTATGACAATGACTGTAGGGATTAGCTGCCCTTCAGTGAAGGGTCCACTTCCCTCTGACCAGGCAGATGAGTCACAAGGTGCCACCGGGGCAGCTTAGGAGAAGAACCCCCCGAAATGAGGCCAAGGTGTAGTAGACATTCTGGCACTGTGCCCGTCTAGGTTTGCCAGTCATCCCCAAATCGTATTCTTTAATATTTAATATTTATTGATTAATGGGTGGAAAATACTGAGTTGATTATTTGTAACTCACTCATACAGAGTCGCCAGAATTAAATAAAAGGGAACAAGACATGAGAGGCAGAAAGCAATTTCCTCCAAAAATTCAATTTGTTTTGTTCTGTGTCTGATTTCCTTTGGGCTGGTCCTGATTTCCTTAAGATCTTCAAAAGCCCAGACTTGGCTCACTTCTGGAAGCACGGCAAGACAGGGACCGCTTCTCCAGCCTGGTCCCAGGCCCTGCCAAGAACAGGGAGGTCGGCTCAGCCGTGAGGTCTCCCCGGGGTACGTCGACCACTGTCTCGGTGTGAAGGATAATCAGCCGTTAGATTAACTCCTCATAAAATATCACTTAGGCCAGGGCAGGTTAGCTAAACATGTGATCTTAAGAATTAGAGCTTCCCTTTTGGCTCCAGCAAAAAGGCGAAAGGCAGGGCTGTGGGGGTATAATTTTGCAGGGGCCTTCGGGGCTGTTCCGGGGCTCACTGCCAACTTACTTGAGGGCAGCACCACTGCGATGTGAGGACTGAGGTTTTCGCGTCCCCCACTGGACCGTCCATCCACCCACTAGCCCTGCAAGCTCCTTCAGTTTATGCGGACCCAAGTAGAAATCTAGAGGTTCCCTCCCTCCTTCCGTAGGGACAAAACCCAGCCTCCAATCCCTGTGGACGTTGGTGAAAGACACCAGGATTGTGGAGTACAGAGAAGATGCTCTGTCAGAGATAAAACACCCCTGTATGGGTGGCCTGGGTGATGCACGCGTTTGCATTTCATCACTAAAGGAAGCGTGGCATTCACTACCCTCCCTTCGGCCTCCGCTCTAGCTACGCTGGGTCCTCAGTATTCTCCAGACACGGCTGGCACACACGCCCCCCCGCTCCAGGACCCCTGAACTGGCTGTTTCCACTGCCTGGAAGGCTGTTCCCCTAGATAACTGTGCGGCCTGCTCCCTCACTTCCTTTGGGTCTTTAGACAAATGTCACTGTTTCCTCAACGCTCTCTCTGGTCACTCTGTCCAAAGCTTCAGCCACTCTGAGCTCCTGCTTTATTTTCCCCCATTATTATTTGCACTCGATATGCTGTACTGTTTAAGTTGTTGCATCTGGTTACCTGATCGAATGAAAGCTTCACGAGGGCAGGGATTTTTGTCTGTTTCATTCACTGCCACGTGCCCAGCAATCAGAACAGAGCCCAGCACATAGTAAGGACCCAACAAACATTTGTGGATTTAGTGCATACGTTGGAAAGAGCTCATGTTTGGCATCAAATCTGGGTTTAGATGCGTCCCCAGCCAATAATGAACAGTGAGACTTAGGTATATCACTTTACCTCTCAGAGTCTCAATTTCCTTATCTGTAAGTTGGGTATGATATCTGTCCCGTAAGGTCCCCGGAAATGTCAATGAGATAATGTGTGCGTAAAGGGCTGAGCACGGTGTCTGGCTAGGAAAGAAGTAACGGGCAGCTATGTTACTACTATTGCAAGAACAGTAAGTGCTTGCCACTTCCAAGGTGCTTGAGAACATTTCAACAGACACAGACAGGAAAAGAAAAGCCTCCAAATCGGCCTGGATTGGGAACAAGGGCCACATGAGCCTCCTGTGCAAAGAGGACTGGACGTGTAAACAGCTGCGTGCAGGAGTGTGTGTCTATATGCGCGCACACACCTGCCATTCACGTAGAAATCACGCTTCACAGGCTTTCAGCCCCTTTGCAGGTTTTCCAAGTCTTATTATTATGTCTGTATGTACACAAGTGTGTGTATACCACATACATACACACACAACACAAGAATGCATATCCACACACGTGTGTGCACACACACCTCTCCACCCCTCACCCCCACCCCCAAGGGGAGAAGCTCTCTAGCAGGGCAGCTACTTCGCTATTCCTGGCTTGGGGAATTGTGCTCTTACAGCCACATTGCACGTGAGTTCCTTCCAGATACCACACCCGGTACAAGCATGGCTCTCTGTTCCCCTCCTCCCTGACCCCTTGATACCTTGCACTGTACCTTCTAAGTCCTTTTGATGGGACTCCCCACTTCAAGACCCACGCCTATCTAGTGGTCTGGCTGCAAAGGAGAGCAAAAGCACTGGACAGACACATGCCAGTCTCGGCTCCAGGTGTCACCAAGAGCAGCCGCAATGCTAAGTCAGAATTTCAAAAGACAATTGCTTCCTGGAGAACTTCCCTACATGCAAGGCACTCAGAGGTCTGCACCGGGAGGCAGCCAGCACCTGCTGAGAACTGTTGATGTGGCTGTACAGCCCCTAGCCCCTCCATTCCGCCCCATCCTGCCCTCGCTGCCACGGCGAAAGTAGTGACCTAGTAAGAGCAGCTTTAGAATCAGGCAGTTTGGAGATTGGAATCTTAGCTCCAACACTTGCTAGCTGTGAGAACTTCAGCAAATGACCTAGCCTTTCTGACGCACAGTTTCATCATGTGTCAAATGATCTGAATTCCCTTATAGAATCTTTGGGAAGATTTAAGTCAGAGTTACCATATATTGCTGCTCAGGTTGTGCACTGCACAATTCCAAAGGGCCACCAGAGATATGGGCTACAAAATCAATTACAACCCTTGGATTGTGTAGGGCACAGCCTGCACCAACTTGTGTAGTAACACAATTATGAAAAATTTGTCAAAACCACCTGACATAAGGCCTGGCACCTAGTGGGTGCTAAATGAATGGTGGCCAAAACACAGGCTTATTGATCACATCTTAAGTTCACAAAAGGGCACCCACATAGTCTTTGCTGACATAATGGCCCAGGTAGGAAGTTGTAGCCATGGTAATATGTGAAACAACTTTGGTGGTGATGGGATATGATGTCCTCAAAGAATCTATTTGCATTCTTCTTTAGAGCCCAGAGTTCAAGGAGTTGCCCATGGCTCTTGCTTCCTCAACATTTTCTTGGTGAAAAATCAGATGCCTTGCAGTGCCTGGATGTGTGTCCTCTTGGAATTATTCGGGCTTAATGTGGTGAGATTTGCTTGAAGTGGAGTATAATTGCCCTTCCTCATTGAAATGATGTTTTCTTTTCAATTAAATTATGATGTACAATGGTTTTTTTTTTTTTCAAGAAAATATAAGAGTACAAACATTTTGGTTGCATTTTATATCTTTGCCTCTCCCTAGCAAGGATTAGAGGTATGCCCTTCCCCTCTACAATGCTCACCACTTCCCTCAAATGTGCGTCTAACCCTCCAACCCCTGAATCCCTGGTGAACACCACCACCATTTGAGCACCATAGTGTTAATCAGTCAGTACCAAATTGATGGCAAGTACATGTGGAGGCCATTTTTCCCATCTTGTGTCACCTCACTTTGGATAATGGGCTTAAGCTTAATCCAGGATACAATGTTTTTTAAAACTTAGTTGACCTTTAAAAAAGGAGCCTCTTGCTCAGATCTCCAACCTCGATTCTCATGGTCCAGTAACTACCCATCTCCACTCAGGCAGAGATGGGAGATTTACTTTCTGGCAAAGTCAACTTGTAGACACAGGACTCAAGTGAGAGTGGGAGAAGATGCCTACTAAACACAGGATTTACATTCTGGAAAGTTGGACCCTCAATATTCGGCCCCTACCTCGATCCCATAAAAGCTGCAGCCAAATGTAACCCTACCCACCTCAGGCAGGAGCCTAGAGGGTTCTAATCAGTCTAGAAAAGTAGCTTCAAAATATGAACAACTAGAAGTCCTGAGTGAAAAATCCAGTTCCCACCCAATCTTCCTACAGTGAGGTCCAGCAGCCGGCAAGCTGTACCGACAAGCAGGGGACTTCCAATGAGTAGAGCCCATCTCCTAGTTGGCCGTCAGGACAGATTTCATCGTGGAAGGCAAAGACTAAAACTAACAAGCAGAAACAGTGAACAAAAGAGATAGAGAAAAGGAAGGAAGGAAGGGAGGGAAGCAGGAAGGGAGGGGCAAAATAACACTTTCTCCAAATTTATAATCAGTAGCCATAATAAGAGAAGATATTGCAGCAATAAAACAAGAAAGAAGCTCGTAAAAAGAGAAGAAGAACAAGAAAGAACATGCGAAAATAAAAAATGTGAGAGCAGAAATAAAAATGTAACAGATGGATGAGACGATACAGTTGAGGACATCTCCCAGAAACTCAAACATTACAACAGAGACGAAAAATGAAAGGGAGATGATCTGTCTGGAGATCTAAAGTCTCAATAACCAAGAGAGAAAATGGAGGGGAGGAAATATTAAAGAAATAATAGAAATTTTCTGAGTGGAAGGATGAGTTCCCAGATTGAGGAGGGCTTCAGAGAACCCAGCTTAATGAAGAAATTCTCACATCAAAGCCTATCATCCCTAAACTTCAGATCACTAGAAATAAAGATCATAAAAGATGTCAGGAAATAGTGTTCAGAATGATATCAAACTAGAAAAAGATAGAGCAATGTTTCTAAAAATCACAAGGAAAATGATTTCCAACCTTGAATTCTATAGCCCACCAAACTGTCAATGAGGAATAAGAATAAAGAAGAGACATTTTTAGTAAATTCAGGACCTTAAAATTTTTACCTCCCATCTACCTTTCTAAAGAAGTTACTGAAGGATGTGCTCCATCAAAATGAGGGCATAAATTGAGGAAGGGGAATGGATCAATAGATAATCCAGCACAGGATAGAAGAGAAAGGGGATTTTCAGGTGAATGGAAAAGAGAAGACCAGGAAAACAGGTCTTCTTGTTCAAGCGGATAACTAATCCAGAGTAGAGCAGGAGAGGATAGGTTTCTGGTCAAGTGTCTCTAGGGGCAAAAAATGAAAGTGGTAGATTATCTGACATGTTTGGCTATGTAGAGAGGCATTCTATAGTTGTATAAAAGATTGCACCAGAAATTTGAAGAACAACACATTTTTTTTTTAGAAAACCAATTAAGTACAAGAAAAATAAAACATTGTACAATTGCCTTGTATAAGAACTGTTAAAATTGTGTCTTCATGATATCTCTTGAAAACTTATACCACTTTTTAGACAACTATTACCTGACTTTCATTTTATTTTGAGTTTGGGGATAACACATTTTCACCCAGAAGTACAGTCAATATATATGCTATAAGAAGTGATAATTTGACATTATAATTTCAGGCAATGACACACTTGCCCACTGATTCAACCATTTCCACTCAGAGACTAGTATACTGGACAAATTTGAGTTACTTGCCCTATTCGGATGAGCCTAATATGCTTTGTTATGCAAGAAATACCAAACAAGAAAGACCTTCTACAACACTTCAGCTTATTAAGTATACATGCTGTTTCCATGAATTTGGAAGTGCTCTCATATTTAGCCTGTATTTAGGTATATTTCTTTACTCTGTTTGTAAGTGCAGCTTGAGTGCAAGATAACTATGAGCCCAAAAAACTTGATGAAAAAAATGGTGTAGCAAGAACAGGGAATTTCTCCCTCTTCCAACCACTGCATACTTACGTCTACTCCTTCTTCTTTTGGTGAATAAACTAAGCCTTCAGGTCAGGCACAGTGGGTCACTCCTGTAATCCCAGCACTTTGGGAGGATCACTTGAGGCCAGGAGTTTCAGACTAACCTGGGCCACATAGCAAGACCCTGTCTCTACAAAACATAAGACAAATTATTCAGGTGTGATGGCGCATGCCTGTAGTTCCAGCTACTCAGGAGGCTGAAGCAGGAGGATCGCTTGAGCTCAGGAGTTTAAGGCTCCAGTGAGCTGTGATCTCACCACTGCACTCCAGGCTGGGTGATGGAGCAAGATCCTGTCTCTAAAAAAGCAAACAAACAAAAATGACCAAAAAATAAGCCTTCGTTGCATCACCTTAAGCTGTGCTTATGTACTTTCAACTTATTATTTGCTATTTATTTATTTAAACTTATTTTTACTGTTCAATTGCTATATTTTCCTATCTGTGAAATTATCTGGGCATCTTGGATTGGGTCGGGATGCATCAGTTCAATATTTTCCCTATTAAAATAATGGAACTTTTTAAAAATTTTCATTTAATAGCTTTTCACTTAGTAGCAGGGCTTTCAGGGTCAAATTAAAGTCCTTAAAAGGAACATATATTTAGGAAAGGAAATGTACATACAGTACTTGGCCCAGCAGTGAACAATATTTACATGGTCCAACTCATGAAAACAACAAATATAAACTGAGTAAAGAAGATGATTTAAACTATGTTGGGAGAATGTGCTAATAATTGTATTCCAAGGGTGCTCTAACAAAGCTGTCTTCATTTCCTTCTTAGAAAGTCAGAATGTAATATATGGATCTAAAAAATCAAGAATAGCAACGTAAACATGTTATTTAGCAAAATGAAGTAAATATTAGAAGAAACATCTAGAGGCATAGAACGTGCTCGCCTCTGGCATTCAGGACTGGGGTGAAGAGCGAGAGAATGTTGCTTTTTATTATGTTTTATAGGACTGTTTGACTTCCTAAAGTAATAACTAATAAAAATTAAAATTATGTTTAAAAAGGCAATAAGTATCCATTGGAGAAAACTTTAAATAGACAAAAATGGAAAAAGAATAAAATAAAAGCCATTTATATCATATCCACCCAGAAAAGCTGCTGATGAAACACTGCTAGGTTAGTTTTGAGTTTTTATACTATACATACATCCATCTACATTTTAAAAATAAAAGTGAGATTTTTATGATAAATATTATTTAGCAACCTGCATTTTTTCTTACCATAATTGTGACAGATTTTTCCATATCAATATTCATCTACTACATCATTTTAATGGCTACATATTTCCCTTCATATGGAGATACTATAATTTATTTACTTCAACCCAACATTTACCATTAATTATTTAACCAGCCTAATTCTTCCAGCAAACAAATGAAACTTTGGGTCCTTTTGAAAAGATAGCAGAAATGTTCTCTACCGTGCATTTCATTGTTGTCATCAATAGCTTCTATTCTGCTTTACTAGAATAGAGTGAGATATGTGGGTTGCTCTGAGGTTTTCCTCTGACAATCCATGGTTTCTTTTTAAAATTCTCTCTCCCTTTAAAAGTATAAGTGGAATGTGTATGTGGCAGATGGCCGTCCTGGCCTGACTGTGACCACTTTTCCTTGTCAGAATTCCTCCTCCCTCTCCAGCAGTGCTCAGCCCTTGTGGTTTGGGTGAAACTGATCCCACCTCCCAGTCCAGGGTGACTATATGATCTCACATGGTCACTTGGCCTCCTTCATCTTTCTGGCCTCTGTGAATGGCTCAGGGATGGACGTGTGGCCAGAACTGATTCAGTGAGAGTCAACTCCCCAGCTTTCATTGGAAAGAAATTCTCCATTTCTCCATTCCATTTAGGAAAGAAATTCTCTTCCTTTTTTTTCACTGGGATTGCTGAGCTGATAAGAATTTGAGTCTGGAACGGGTGGTGGCCATTTGCCACTACAAAGGGGGCACCTGCCTGGGACACAACCAGAGAGGAAGAGAAATGAACCAAGAGACTTAAAAGGGCAAATCCCCATGACGCCTTTTGAGCACCTGGATCTGACACTGCCTAATGCTCCCGGCCCAAACAGCTGTCATGAATTAATACATGTCCTTTTATTCTTAATCTATTCTGAACTGTTGCTGTGTCATCTGAAAGTGTGTATTATGTTAATAATATACATTCAGAGTCAAATAACTCAGAATAGAAAAGAATAAAGTGAAAATGAAAACTTCCCCTTTTTTCCCCAAATTTTCAGTCCAAACTCTCCAGAGACAATCACTCTTCACAGTTTCTTAACTATGCTTACAAAATGTGCCTGTGTTTTTACAAATATACCAATTTTTAAAATGTACAAACAGGGTTATACTATCTACAGGGTGTCCCCAAAATCAAAATACATAGGGAAAATGGGAAATTGTAGCTAAGGTACATTGAGCTACAATTTTCCTATGAATGGTGACTCTTGGGACACCCTGTATATTATCCTGCACTTGTGCTTTCTACTTTACCATGAGGAGAAAGGGTACCTTGCCTTCCCCAAATCTAAATGTTTACTCCATTTTTCCTAAGGCATTTGCCTGAATTTTTCATTTTGCAAAGGAGTGTACT